ACGGATGGGCGTCACTCTGATGAAATCCACTCGGATGGAACTCACTCGGATGGATTTCACTCGGATGAAATCTACCCATCCATATTTTTTCATTTGGATAGCTTCCACCTGGGTGCATTCTTACACTAGGATAGTTTCCACTCGATCGCATATGTTGACCAGCCGACTGATAGTCACCAATGTTCAGTCGGCCATTATATGAGTAATCAAGTCGATTCCACACGGATTGCCTCTGCTCTTCTGAAAATTGTGCCCTTGGTCCACTCGGTTTCACATACTGACTGAATATATCATCTGATGGTGACCTTGGTCGTTTCAAGTATGATTGGCCGGTTAGAGCTGGAACCAGCCGACTAATTAGCATATTTGGACAGCAACATATCAAAAGTTGGCTTGATCCGCTTGCGTTGCACTTTAGCTTCATTCCTCTTCCATTTTCCAACTTATGGACTCTTGGGCTTGACAAATTTAACTCGAGTGTCCTGCTGCACCTGTGTTTGCCCCCCGAGTGTAGGATTTTTGATGGTGATCTTGATCACTTCCTTGCCATCGGGTTGCTTATCAAGCACAACATGTCTCCCCAAAACCTTGTCGCCCTCCTTGTCTTTCCTGGGCTCACCAACAATGACATTAGCTTTATTAGCAGATTCGGCTACCTCTGGCCGAATGAGCAGCTTCTTCCCTTCTAAATCCATGGTGTTCATTGGAAAGGGCTGTTTATCAACTTGCATCTCAGAAAAGTTCAATCGTCCGTCATTAATGGCCGATTGTATCTGTCGTCGAAAAACATTGCAATCGTTAGTAGCATGAGAAAAAGAATTATGATACTTGCAATAAGCACACCGTTTCAGCTCTTCAAACGGCGGTAAAGTATGAGATATTCTAATAATCTTCGCCTGCAGCAAAGCATCAAATATTCTATCACACTTAGCAATGTTAAAAGTAAACTTCATCTCTTCATCACGATTCTTATGAATCGGTTTTAGATCATTGCAAGTAAAGGGTTTGGCCTTAGATGGCCAAACAAATTCAGTAGCAAAAACATCACCCTCATCGTCCGAGTGATCACTATCATATTCCACCATATTCATCTTTGGACGATCGGCTTTGTACCTATGCACTTCTTTGAGATCTTTGCTTCGGCTTTCCTGAGCCAAAGCCCTTTGTAAGACTTGGTTAATATTTAAGAACTCATAGCCCTCTAGCTTTTCTCTAATGGGAGTTCTTAAACCACTCAACACTAGGTCTGCCAAGTCTCTCTCGGTTATCACCAAACTAAAACATCGGTTTTTCGTTTCTCTGAATCTCTTGACGTAATCGGAGACCGATTCATCATGCTTCTGTTTAACCGATGTTAGATGTGACAACTTGAGTTCATTGTCCCTGCTGTAAAAGTGATCATGAAATTTATGCTCTAGCTGCGACCAAACTCGAATGGAACCATGTGGTAAAGAAGAAAACCATGAAAATGCGGTACCAGTTAATGATAAAGGAAATAAACGCACTTTCAACTCATTTAGTGAGCCTGCTTCACCTAATTGTGCCAAGTATTGACTAACATGCTCCCATGTGGTTTTTGTGCCCTCTCCATTGAACTTAACAAAATCTGGAATTTTATATCCTGGAGGGCACTGGATGGCATCAAAGTACTCGGGGTACGGCTTTTGGTAAATCCGATTCCAAGGTAACTCAACCCCAAAATTCTCTCGAAGCATCTTAGCCATCTCCTCTCTAAGATTAGCTAGACCATCATCCATAGTGGACGATGAAACTTGTGGCAGTGGCATAGGAGGAGTAGGACTACTAGTTGTAGGTAGGAACTGTGGCATGTATGTCGACCCATAATTTGCTAGTGGTTGAGTGGTTGTAGCTGTAGGTAAGGTTGGGTTCGGCGTTGCCACCGAACCTGGCATGCTCATAATAGGATTAATGGGTGCAGCCACAATCTGATTTGTTTGGGTAGGATAATAAGCCATCGGCACGGGAGGCGCCGATGCAATAGGTAAAGCCAGATTAGGGTTTTGCACACTAGCAGCTACACCATCATTACCACTAGTCGATTGAGATGTATTCTTCTGAGCATTAGTATTTTCTATGAAAGTTTGATAGACTAGATTGTTACCATCAGCAATACGACTTTCAATCTCAGCCCACTGCTCAGGAGAAAAGGTAGTACTCACAGAAGGTTTAACCTGCTCGGCTTGAAGAGGAGGGAACTTGATTTCTTCAATCGGAGTGATGTTGCCTTGGCGATCCTTCTTGAACTTTGCAAGGAACTCTTGCAAATCCTTCTCTTCGCGCGCCTTCTTGTACTCCTCATAGACTTGGCGATGATCAGCCGATATCTCATCAAGACTGGGCTTAATGATGTTATCGGCGTCTACCTCGGATGGCTTGGGAAGATCGGACATGGTGGATGATGATGATTGATCTTCGTGTCCCCAGCGTAGTCGCCAAAAAGTGTGTTGACACACGAACACGTCACGTGTACCCTCGACGCCGGGGGTGATGCACCGCAGCTCCCGTCGAAGGAGACCCGACCGACAGCGCGATACGCAAGACAGTCCGGGCGCTTTTGCAAACCCGAAAACCCCACACCCCCGGGAGGGACCCCGTCAGGGAGTGCGGCGGCTATGGGCTGCCCTAGGTCGATTCGCTCGCCCCTAGAGCCTCGAGATTCGCAGCTCTCAAACACGAAGAACAGCGAAGAACGAGAGAGAAAAACGATGGAGAGATAAAACGTAGACTTGAAAAAGTAGTATATTGATTTGTTCGATTGTGTGTTGTTCAATCGGCCGTCACCCCCAACATATATAAGAGGCGGCTGGACTTCCCGTACAAGTAAAGAATTCATCTAGGCTTTCCTTACAAGAAAAATTACATCAATTCGCGTCCTAGAGTCCTAGTTCTATTCCAACTCGGATTCAGTCTGAATCTGGCCCAAACTCTGTCTTCCTTCTTGCGCGGGCCGCCGAGCTTTCATATGATCTCCGATCAAGACGGCCCAAATATCAAACTTGTGCGCCTCGATGATACGGACAACTCTCATGTTGATTACTTTTTCAAATAAGGCCATCTTGAATACTCTTCGAGGTCATCTTTACCTTCCAGTCGGACTCGGTCTTGCAGTAGACTGGATCATCCGAGTCTCGTAGTGAACTTGTAGGCCATATACTATCTTTGATGATGATGACTCTAAAACCAAAGTTTACCGTCTTGACGATATGCATAACTTCTGTATTGAACACTTCTTCATCCGAGGTCATCTTGATAAACTTTCGGGCACATGTTTAGTTTCACTCGGATTCGAGCTCATCCACTCGGATATTAGAGACTTTCACTCGGACCATCCGACTCGACCTTTTCACTCGGAAAACAATCTTTCACTAGGATGACTATATTTTCACTCGGAAGACAAACTTTTACTTGATCGATAAGTTTTCACTCGACCTTTTACTCGATCGGTAGGTTTTCACTCGACCTTTTACTCGATCTTTAGGTTTTCACTCGACCTTTTACTCGATCGTTAGGTTTTCACTCGACCTTTTACTCGATCGGTAGGTTTTCACGAACTTTTACTCGATCTGTAGGTTTTCACTCGACCTTTTACTCGATCGGTAAGTTTTCACTCGACCTTTTACTCGATCGGTAGGTTTTCACTCGGATGGTAAAACTTTCCACTCGGATTTCCCGACTGAAAAGATAGTCTGATCTTGATTTGCCTCTCCAGGTTGCATATGACCTCGGATTGAGACAAATTGTATATGAAAATCGATCAGCTCGACGAGACAAAACTTTTTCATGTTGAAAGTTTTTCCATCCAAGGCCATCCAGAAGGCCGAATTTCTCACGCATTGTGTCAGACACTTATTAACATGTGTCTGGTGTCGAGCGTAATATTTTGGTCTTTGGTAGGGCTGGTCTATATTGATTGTAACTTTTGCATACAAACTCGGATTGAGATGATTTATATATCAAAATTGATTGCTTCGACGAGACAAAGACAATTCCTTTAGAGTACTCCTTCATCCGAGGTCGTCTCGAAGGCATGATCGGCCGAAAACCACTCGGAATATTGAATTCTGCCACTCGGAATGTAATTTCGGCCCCTAAGAATGGAGTCGGACGATGATAACCTAAACATCAAAGTTGTTCCATTCGGTGATGTGAAACTTTTCATGCTGAAAACCCTTTCACTCTGTACCTTGCCAAAATCAGGCGTCAACACTCCGCTGCGCCACTTGTGCCTTTTTGGCGCATATAAACGTACTACTACTGTAGTACACTCGTGGAATCACATGGGTGGAGAAAGAGATACGGAGAACGACTGGCCAGCTTTTCACGCATGTGGCAACCTCTCACTCGTACCTGCTGAAACATGAAACTACTTTTGCTCAAACTAAGCAACAGAGAGTTTGCTTGTTTGGTCTATCGGCCGTACTACGCACGATGCAGACCATAGTTCACTGGCAAAATTAGTAGTCCACGGACCCGCTGATTTCCATTAACAAGCGCCATAACCTTGTTCATTACGATAAAATTAGTAGTGGAAACGACCAACAAAAGCAGTATTCATCCACTGCTTATTACAGTACAGAAAGACAACCTAAAGACAGTTTTCTTCCAACAATCCGAATTCTTTTTCAGTTTGCAATTCTTGCATATGCATGTCGTCTCGCCATCTTCAGCGTCCGGACTCCACAAGCCTTCCTTGCATTAACTAGCTATTCATACAAAATAGCCGAGGCCTCAGATTACTATACAGCATCTTCAGCTTCCGGACAGAAACTCCTCAAGTCTTGCTTTAATTATCTCACACTGCAACAGCATCGTCATTCGTAAGAAATCTGAGTCTAAACCGTCCGCATCGCGTCTCTAATTTTTTAAATGGAAATCTTCTCCCCACGAGGACACGATCGATACACAAACTTACGGTGCGACGATTGAAAAAAGGTATTGTCTCAAAATGAAATCACCTGCGCAATATGAGAGCAGCCTGACTAGAGGCGCAGCTCCAGGTACAGAGCCTCGCCGGCGCCACTTGCGAACGAGGCCCTTGACCAGCCCGCCATGCCGTCGCGGCCACCGAACGGGTCCTGGAGCAGCGTGTGCTCCGCGAAGCGTGGAGCGTCACTGCCTCGCCCCCACCTCTCAGGCTTGCAGGCGTCGGAGGCTGGCGCCGCCTCCACGCCACCGCCGTGCGAGGCCACGGAAGTGCACATGAACCGGCCGGCGCTTGAATCGCACGACGGCCCGGTGGACGCCCTCGCGACGGCGGCGCCCCGGGATGGGCTGTCGTTGTTGTTGTAGGGGTCGCAGAGGAAGCCGGCGAGGCGGTCCTTGCGGTGGGCGTTCTGGTGGCCGCCGAGCGCCTGCGACTTGATGAACGTCTTGTCGCAGAACAGGCACTGGAACAGCCGCACCGTCCTGCCGTCCACGCGCGCCGTCGGTGCAACCTCCTCGTCCCGGTCTTGGCTGCTGTCCTCTGAGGACAACGCCAGCGACAGATCCGGCACCACCGCCGCCGCTGCCGCTTGCACATGGAACCACGACGACGTGGCCTTCTCCATCGAGGTAACAGTTGAGCTCAGGTGGCAGCTGTTGCAGTGTCAGGAGCACAACAACACAACACAAGGATATTGGCGAGAGAACTGATGATAGCTAGAAATGGTAACGGCGGCGCCTCTACAATGGGAAAGAGGAGTGTGAAACAAGCTATGGACTCGAAACCTCGACCTACTACCTTATAATGAGATGGCTTTCAACAGGTATAAATATAGGAATAAACACTCAAAAAAACACAGAAATAAATAATTATATTTTGCTGCCAACTAATTTCAACTAATGGGAAAGAAGAGTGTTGAAACAAGCTATGGACTCGCCCGACCTTAGAATGAGATTTTTTTTTTTAGAAAAGGAGGAGGACCCCCGGCCTCTGCATCTGGACGATGCATGCAGCCACTTTATTAATTATTCACACAAGACCTTACAAAGTGATACAACAGTAAGACAAAAGCCACCGTCTAGGCAACATCCGTCGCTACTCCTATCCAGTTGATGAATGGATGCTGATAGTCTGGGCCTAATACCAAACAGACCTCGCAGCCAAACCTAACATCTAAGACCTGAGGTCCCAACCAGGACGCCTGTCGGGTATGGGGCACCCATCAGTCCGACGCACTTCTCAACCAGGACGCCTGTCGGGTATGAGGCCGCCGCAGCCACCTGCCACCAATCCATCTTCAGTGTTGTACTGTTGCATCCACCTTGCCCGGCCTCTCTGCCATCGACGCCACCATGACGCCAGACAACGTCATCCTCCTGCCCAAGTCCCTCGCCACACATCGGACGCCGAGTCTCCACTGTGCCACGCCGCCGAGAGACGCCACCATTAATGTGTATGATGAAGCACCGCTCCACCAAATAATCCGTCCACTGGTCCCTCGAGCCCGTGCACACCTTTAAGAATAACGCCACAAGAGGGAAACGACACAATAATGTCGCTGTCATCCGATCTACTGATCTAGGGTTTCCACCGGAGGTAGCAAATAGTGGCCTGGAACGTCTCAACGGCGATGCCTTCAACAAGGGAACGACACTGAATAGTGCCGCCATCGCCGGCCTCGGCAGCAGCCGTGAGCCGGTCTTCACCCAGATCTATTCCAGTGGCCTCCATCAAGCTTCTTGTGCACGGATCGTCCAACACCGAGGCCGCTGCATCGCCCATCGCGAGTCCACAGCCGCCGACACATCCTCCGCCGTCCAGGGGCCGCCGCCCTAGGATCAGCCCTCGCTGGCCGTCGAGTCCTGCCGCCGCACGCCCGATGCGCATCAGACCGGGACGCCGCCGGCCGTGACCAGGCCCCGACCAGATCTGGGAAGAGGAATCAACCTCCACCGCAGCATCTAGCCACGCGTCGGAACATCCAAGCGCCGCCGGCCACCGGCTAGCGCCCGTCATGGAGCCCCGCACCCCTAGGTCTCCACGACCGCAAGTCCAGATC